CTATCTGTACAAATAAACCTCTATTCTGCAATGGTCTACATCTGCACATTTAGGTCCGTCTGACCCCAGTCAGAGACAAGATGAACAGACATTTCAATTTCAATTACAGTTTACAGAGAGTAGTGGATTGCCCAGGGAAGCGATGGAGACAAACAGATTGTCGGAAAATTGAAGAGGATTAAATAGCTATTGGCCAAATTCAACATAAGGTTTTGAGATGGAGTGGGATTATTTTATTTGGGGCTGGCCAGATGGACCACAATAGCCTTTTCCAGTCCCTTTTCCTTTTTGTGTTCCTATGAGATGGCTCACAGTTGGGCACAAAGTCATGGCAGAGGATTACCATGTAGTTCAGTTAACATCATAAGATATTTTCAATCTTGTGTGAGAATAGTATAGTTGAACGCTGTGCAACAGCTTTACATAGACTCTGAACCGTCAGCGTCAGATGCAGAGATACGATAGATAAGTGAAGGTTTAGAGAAACAGACAGTTAGATATGCGGGGACACACATTTCCGCACTGTTTTCAGGATCTGAGCTCCTAGGGATGCAGCGGAGAGGCTTCCTCCGACCCATCTGCAAAGACCACGATCATGCAGTGAGGTGGATCTGTGGCAAACACAGAAGCGGCTGCAACGAGGGAGGGCTCTGGCCTACACTGACTTATTGCAAAGCACCCTGGCAGTAAAGATGGCTTGACAGCATGCACATCGTTCCCCTTGCATGAGGGCACGCATTAATCAACTGCTGCTGAGTAAGCCTGGTACACGGCATTGGACTTGGACCTTGAGAACATCAAGGTGGCTAGCATAGCACAAGCTATGTAAAGTGTAAAGGTCCTCCGCCACGCTGAAAGCAGATGCCCGCCAGATAGCTGATGAGGAAACTCTGAGGCTTGGGGCGACAGCTGCTGGAAGGCATTACTTGGAGTCCAAGTTCATGAACTCATGATCCAACTCCTGGAATGCAGATGATTGAGTTGCAGAGAGGCAAGCAGCTGCTGCTTAACCTCCATGCCACTCAATGGGAAGGCATGTGTGCCAAAGCTGGGGACAGGAAGACGGTGGCAATGCTCTCACGCATCTCATGCTGAGATACGTTGCCCACCGGGAAGTTCGCAGGGAGTTACTGGCACCTACCAACCACCTATCATAGAATCATATAGACCAGAGGGAGGCCATTAGGCCCATTGTGTCTGTGCTGCCTCTTTGAAAAGAGCTGTCCAAATCAATCCAACTCCCCACTCTCTCCCCATAGCCCTGCAAACGTGTTCTCCCCAAATCATTATCTAAGTCTCTCTTAAAAGCTGTTATCGAATCGGTTTCCAGCACCTTTTCAGGCAATGCATTTCAGATTGTGCAACATTCATTTGAATATGTAATTTGGACATGGGCAGATATGTACTTTTCAGCTCTCCCTGCTCTGTGAGTCTTTCAACCCGGGGGATGTTGGCATATTCCACTGAGAGCCATTAAACAATCAAATCTAATTGACTTAAGTGGAATGTTCAATCCTCATTACATGACAACCAATAATTCTCGAGTAGCAGCATTAAACCTCAGCAGTAATTAAGTACCGTACAGTTATGGAAGAAGTTACCCCCACAATCCCTAACCGATGCCTTGGAGTCCTCTGAACTCCTCTCCCTCTGGCCTTCAACCCTCACCCTCACCGACCCCTCTTCTCCTCTCTCCCTCCTCCACAATACCCTCTCCTCCACACTCGATACTCTTGCCCCCATCACTTCCCGCACTGTCTCCTACTCCCGCTCCTCCCCCTGGTACACCACCCACCTCCGCTCACTGAAAAGCCAGGTGCGGGCTGCTGAACGCACCTGTGTCAAATCTGGCCTAACGGTCCACCGACAAATCTGGCTGGACCTCCTCAAAATTTACCGCTCCACTCTAGCCTCGGCCAAGTCGTCCTTCTACTCCAGGATAATCCTGGAGGCGAAGAACAACCCCAGGCTACTGTTTTCCACCACAACCCGACTCCTCCGTCCCCCCCACCACCCCGCGCAGGTCATCTCCTCCAACCTTCACTGCGAGGAGATGCTGGATTTCCTTGAATCCAAGATCAAGGGAATCCGCTCCGCGGTCACTTCCCCTCCAACTTCCACCCACCACCCACCCCTTCCCTCCCACACTCCGACTCCTACCCATCCTCCCCTACACACCTTCGTACCCGTTTCCCCACCCTCTGTCACTGAACTCATCCTATCCCTAAAACCAACCACCTGCTCCCTTGACCCCATCCCCACTCCACTCCTTATCTCCCAGCTCCACTTTCTTGCCCCACATATCACTGACATCATCAACCTGTCCCTCTCCTCTGGCTCTGTCCCCATTCCATTAAAAACTGCCATCATCACGCCCACCCTGAAAAAACCCTCCCTTGATGCGTCGCAGCTATCAAGCTACCGGCCCATCTCCAACCTCCCCTTTCTCTCCAAGGTCTTGGAAAGAGTTGTCGCCTCCCAACTGCGCTCTTTCCTTTCCACCCATTCTCTTTTCGAACCCCTTCAGTCAGGTTTCCGTGCTGCCCATAGCACAGAAACTGCCCTGGTCAAGGTCACCAATGATATCCTGACCATCTGTGACCAGGGCTCCCTCTGTCTCCTCGTCCTCCTCGACCTATCGGCAGCATTCGATACGGTCGACCACGCTATCCTACTCCACCGCTTGTCCTCCCACCTCAACCTTCAAGGCACTGTCCTTGAATGGTTTAGGTCGTACCTTTCTCACCGTCTTCACTTTGTCTCGACGAATGGCTTCTCCTCCACCCCCCGTACTGTCTCATGTGGTGTCCCTCAGGGCTCTGTCCTCGGTCCCCTCCTCTTCACCCTCTATATGCTCCCCCTTGGTGACATCATCCGCAGACATGGAGTTAACTTCCACATGTATGCGGATGACACCCAACTCTACCTTTCCTCCTCTACTCTCAACTCCACGACCACCGATGTCCTGACAGCTGCCTGTCCGACATCGAGTCCTGGACGAGAGACAACTTTCTTCAGCTCAACGTGCGAAAAACCGAGGCCCTCCTGATTGGCTCACGTCAGCGCCTCCGCACCTCAGGCGCTGACACCATCAGCATCCAAGGCTGCACTCTCCACCTCTCAAAGCCAGTCAGGAACCTCGGCGTTTTGTTCGACCCTGAGCTGTCCTTTCTCCCTCACATCCGCACCACAACTGGCACCGCCTTCCATCACCTCCGGAACATCGCCAGACTACGGCACTACCTCACCCCTCACGCTGCTGAAACCCTGGTCCACGCCTTTGTCACCTCAAGGCTGGACTATGGGAACTCTCTCCTCGCCGGCCTTCCCGCCACCTCCCTCCACAAGCTGCAGGTCATTCAGAACTCTGCAGCTCGTGTACTGTCCCGCACCAGGCTTCGCGACCACATCACTCCCACCCTCGCTCGCCTCCACTGGCTCCCCATCCCCCAGAGGATTGATTTCAAGATCCTCATCCTCACCTACAAGGCCATTCACGGCCTTGCTCCCTCCTACCTCTCCAACCTACTATCCCCCTACCTACCTGCCCGTACCCTCCGTTCCTCTGGCTCCGGTCTGCTCCACGTCCCCCGCCCCAACCGCCCTACCATCGGTGGTCGGGCCTTCAGCCTCTCAGCCCCAGGCTCTGGAACTCCATCCCCCAGTGCCTTCGCCTTGCTTCCTCCCTTTCCTCCTTCAAGGCCGGTCTCAAAACCTTTCTCTTTGACCGTGCCTTCAGCTCCCCTCTCGACTCTCTTCCCCTCCTCGCTCCCTCCCTTCCCTCCCCTCACCCTGACCATTTCCCCCCTCCTTGCTCCCTCCCTTCCCTCCCCTCACCCTGACCATTTCCTCGCTCCCTCCCTTCCCTCCCCTCACCCTGACCATTTCCCCCCTGCTCGGGTCATGACCCAACTGTGCAGCGCCTTGGGACGTCCTCCTGACGTGAAAGGCGCTTTATAAATGGAATCTTGTTGTTGTTGTTGTTATTTGGTCTATTACTGAACCCCCTCCCTTTCCTCTTAGCTCAGTGATGATCATCGGTGTGAAGAACTTAAAGCTCGTTGTGCCACACTGAAAGTTTTATTTGTTGCAAGTTGCATCCACATGCAATTTCTTTCTTTGTTTATTTTGCTTCAGCCAAGTATCTGACACATGTGGAAACCCATCACGATGCTTAAGAGTATCGAAACCAAACCTAAGAATTCCACGCAACCCACCTACACTTGAAAATTTCCAAGTTGTTTATTGAAATGGAATACACACTCTCTCCCTGGAGGGACGCATCCTGCTTGTCTAATTCTGGAAAGAATTTGGAGCAGGTTGGCAAGAGCAAAGGCTTGGAGATCCCAGAGTGTGCATTGGAGTATCTGCTGGAGTCCTAACCAGCTAAAACCACATAGCTTGCCATTGAGCGCACTGTCTGGCAAGCTTTCTCACTGCTTATCCAGGTAGGACCACCCTACCCATTCTGACTTTAGCTTGCAGAGTTATCCAGATTTAAGACATACAAAACTATTCTATTGTTATTTGTGAGTCTCCAAGAGTCTCGGAGAAGCCGACACCAGCCTTTGCCACCTCATATTGCAGCTGGAGTGGTCAGTGATGGTGTTGGGTTTACATGCGTGCACTGGGATGAGGAGATTGCTAGTGTCAGCATCCGGGTAGTGACATTAATACTGGTGTGAAAGTCCACTGAAATACTGATGTGAATATCACAACCAGAACAGAGCATTAGTATTACAGTGTGACAGAAGATTTTTGACTCCTTATAATAATAATACTTGCATTTAGTATAGCGCTTTTCATGTCTTCTAGACATCTCAAAGCGCTTCACAGAATATACTGTAAAGTGAATAGACTGCATGTTTGTTGGTGAAATACGGCAACCAATTGCGCACAGCAGTGTCCCACAACAGTCGTAGATTGAAATGACCAATTTATTATTTTTTTCTTGAGGGATTATTATCAGGCATGTGGAGTAAGACATCTTGCGCAAGGTTTCGCCCTGCCAGGAATTGAACCCAAGTCTCTCGCTTTCAAGGCGAGCGCTCTAACCACTGAGCTACAAGACTCCACAATGCAAGGCATTTGACATTTCATTACATTTCTATTGATTGGGTATAATGACTGATCAAAGACTCTACAGCACATAAACTTAAGAGTTTTTTCCAGCTCTGACCTCCATCTCTATCTTTGTGTGTTCACAAAATGTCTGGAGATAAAAAAAAACTGAGTGACACTTTTTGCACCAGCAATTGCTGGTTTGTTGGTATACCTGTATATGTACGTTGTGTGTGTGTGTGTGTGTTGCGACGGTTCTCAGCCCTTTAGGTAACCAGCAAAGTTCAGCAACGTAAAGTGTACTAGGTGCCTCTGTTTTCAGTTCTATCTCTATAAGTGCAAATCCCTACTCTTGTGGAACTTCACTACTTAGATCAACACAACGACAGATATTCTCAATTGACTTACTGCCCATGCAAATAGATGCTTTTGGGCCACTGGGTCCAGCAACTACCTGTTTTGTGTATTTCCCTACCTCCCTCCTTAAGAATTTTACAGACTTGAAGACACTACTGAGAAGATACAACAGATTTTTATTAGCCCTAGACAACCCTATGTCTACTTACTCTAATCGATAGTAATATAAAACAAATGCAACATTGGAAATAGATAACCCTCAACACTAAACTGTAATAAAACTAGTAGCACTTAACTAACATTCGTAAATTAAAAAACAATCTTGACTTGGAGGTAGTCCCTCTCAAGTCAGGTACATACCTAGATGGTGACCAAAAGCTAGGGACCATGAGTTAAGCCATGCTCCCTCCATATAAAGGCATCTGGCTCCTCCCCTTAAACAAAGTATCACGTGGTTTATCCCACAAAATGTTTCTGTTTACTCAGACAGCTTTTACAAATGTAATTTTGTTATTATTGTTGTTAGATTTTATGTCACCAAAGCTTTCCCTGCTATTCTAAATAATAAATAATAATCCTTGCATTTGATATAGCTCTTTTCATGTCTTTTAGAAGTCTCAAACGCTTCACAAAATATACTGTAAAGTGAATTGACTGTATAGTTGGGGGTGAAACTGCATTTCACCCACAACATTAGTTGTGCGCAATTGGTTGCACACATAAAAGTAGTTTATCAGGTTTAAAACACAAATCTTCTTAAAGGGACAGACAACCCCAAACATACGAACTATAAATATACTTTTTACAGAATATATATATATATATAGGCTGGATTGCGTAAAAAAAACAGAGTAACCAAGACAGCGTGTCTGTGATCTGTCATTGCTCGTATCAGACTAAATAGAGGTGTCACTGTTAACTTTGGGCTATATAGGGATGTCACTTCTCATATCAGTCTATGGAGAGCTGTCACTGTTAATATCGACATTGAGCTATACAGAGCTGTTCTGTTAATATCAGGCTATATGGAAATTTCACACCTATACTCTCCTGCTTTGCTCGGTCACTCGGAGTTTGGTATGTTCCACACCCCTCTGTTCCATCATTGGCAGCTGTGCCCTCAGCCACCAGCCGCTGGCTCAGCCCCTCCGTTTTGCTCTCCCCAGCTCATCATTGTTTAGCATCTTGAGACACTACCCTACATGCAGGGTGCTGTATAAATGCAAATTATTTTTGTGTCGCTGCTAATATCAGTCTACATAGAAGTGTCACTACTAATATCAGACTATGTAGAGGTGTTGCTGTTAATATCCGACCATATGCAGGTGTCACTGCTAATATCAGACTATATGCAGGTGTCACTGCTAATATCTGACTATCTAGAGGTGTCTCTTATCAATATAAGCTTTAAAGAGGAACCCAGTGTACTATATTAGTGTATGTAGAGGATGTCAAGGGTACATACTATCCCTTTTGTACACAGCAAGGGCCCACAGACAGACAGGAGTTGAATGATTTTTATCTTCTTTTCAAATAGTGTCATAGGATCTTTAACCCCACCTGATCAGACAGACTCAGTTTATCCTCTTATCTGAAGAGTGCATCTCTGACAATGCAGCATTCTCAAGTACTGTACCTCAGGGTTGCCCCAGATGGTGAGCTCAAAGTCCGATAACATAGCTTGATATTACAACGTTCTGACCCACAGGTGAAAGAGTTACTGACTGAGTCAAGCAGACAATTACCTGAGAAAACTTCTTGATGGATAGAAATAAAAGCTGGATCAACCAAGCTTGACCCTAGGTTTGCAGGATCTCAAGTGAGATCAGTACAACAACAACAACAACAAGATTCCATTCACGTCGGGAGGACGTCCCAGTAGGATGAATATGAAGATGTTTTTCCTCAAAAATATCAATTGTTCCTCAAATACAAGGGAATGAGGAGGGAAAACACAGGCTAACTTAGAAAGAGTTAGCTACAGTGGTATGAAGAAAGGGCAGGGAAGTGAGACTGAATTGATTTCTCTTAAGGGAGCCGACACAGACACAATGAGCCGAATGGCCTTCTTCTGTTCCGTAAATTTCTCTGGCTCTATCATACCTTCATTATAGGGAAAGTTAGTAGAAAATATAGCCGTGACAAAACTGAGAAACTTGGGAATCAGTGCCTGTGATTTATAGCATCAGCTGTCCAACAAAATCATTGAGTTCAGCAATGGAATTCCTATCAGCTTGTAACAGATGGAATAGAGTGCACAGAATCTATGAGAGCGATACGTGACTACTCAGCAGCTCCATACTGTCAGGGGCTGTAATGTCAAGCAAGCCTCCACTCGGCTTTTGTTCCATCATTTCACTCGTTGCAGAGTTTCCAAGCCTTGCTTTTGACTGATGAGTTTTCAAGGTCAAGGACAAAGTTTGTGTGTTAAAAAATAAAGCCAGGCCTGATCCCAGTCCCAGCTGACTTCGCTTCGCCTTCCCACCAATTGCTAAGCAGCTTGTGTTTGTGCTCTATTTTTGTCATCGCAAGTGACACTGAAACCCCACTCCGAGCTGAAAGGGAATCTGTTCTATTGCTATTGCCAGTATATTAAACAGTGGGGCTTGTTAATCCTAATTGGCTACTGTGTAATGCTAATTTGCCTGTCGTTCTGCTCATTTTGTGTGGCCAGAAAAGCTCCATCAGGTTTATTTGGGTAACTCAGTAAATTCTGAATTTTGAGTGTGCTTTCAGCGTGCATTTAGTTCACATGCCTGTTATTCTGAGTTGGATTAACCATCTAATGCCACATTAACAGTTCCAACCAGCAGACAGTTTTACTGGGAAGGCTACTTAGAAGCTCACAGGAACAGAAGGAGGGTCTGGCCCATCCAGCCTGTTCCACCACTTTCTTAAATCTTAGTAGATCTTTTAATCTGCACATGACTGTTATTCACATAATAATAATAATAATTCTTGCAATTGATATAGCATTTTTCACGTCTTCTAGACATCTTAAAGCGCTTCACAGAATATACTGTAAAGTGAATTGACGGTATGTTTGTGGTGAAATGCGGCAGCCAATTGCACACAGCAGTGTCCCACAAACAGTCGGAGATTGAGTGACCAAACTATTANTTTTTTTATGGATTATTATCCCAGAAAAGCAATCCGCTTTTCTATAATTACATAATTCTAGAATTCTAGAATTCCATGTCTATGTCTAGAATTCTCATCCTTTCGTCACACTCTACATTACATCTACTATCTATCTGACTATCTGCTTGTAGTCAGATAGTCAGGCAGATTATCCTGACTGCCTGACAGGATAATGTGTCATTCCTCCTCTATAGCTTTCGGGGCCATAGCATTCCACATCCTCACACCCTGCTGTGTGAAGAAATGCCTCCTGACCTTGGTTCAAAGTTTAAGGCAATGTCACTTGTAATCAATCTACTGGTCGGTCATTCACCTCATGGCTGTTTGAGGGACATTGCTGTATGCAAATTGGCTCCTGCATTTGCCCACCAAAGACGCAGTCACTACACATTGCAGTATGTCCTGTGAAGCACTTTGGGACTGACATGAAAGGTTCTGTACTAAATGCAAATGGTATACTACTATCTAATCTGTTAATTTAATTCCCTTCAATATTCGAACTACCTCAATAAAATCACCATTTAACCTCCTTTGTTCTAAGAAATTTAACACCACCCTATCCAGCCTTTCAAACAAGATAGATAACATCCGCTTGGTTGCCTCCTCTTCCTTCTCTTCCCCCCACCCCGCTATCCCAATGTCACCTGCCACGCCCCCATGCCTCCTCCAGCACCCTCTCCTACCACACTCCACTACACTCCTTTGCCCCAGTCTCTCCCTCCACGCCTCCGCTCACCATCACTCAGATGAACCCCACCACCTGGTGCCTCGACCTCCTCCGCACCCAGCTCCTGGTCACTCAACTCCCCCTCCTCTGCTCACTGCTGGCTGACACAATCAGACAGTCCCTCTCCTCACGCTCTGACCCACTCCCCCTCAAATCCGCCATCATCATTCCTCTCCTTAACAAATATAATAATAATAATCCTTGCATTTGATATAGCGCTTTTCACGTCTTTAGACGTCCCAAAACGCTTCACAGAATATACTGTAAAGTGAATTGACTGTATATTTGTGGGCGAACGTGGCAGCCAATTGCGCACAGCAATGTCCCACAAACAGTCATGGATTGAAAATGACCAATTTATTATTGTTTTGTTTTGGAGGGATTATTATTAGGCTCTGTGTGGAGTAAGGAAACTTGCCCAAAGTTTCGCCCTCTGCCTGGAATTGAACTCAGGTCTCTCGCTTGCAAAGCGAGTGCTCTAACCACTGAGCTACAGGACTCCACGTCCTACACTCAAATCTACACTCGATCCCTCCAACCTCACAAACTTCCGACCCATCTTAAACATGCCCTTCCTGGCCAAAGTTTTGGAACGTGCCATTGCAAATCAACTTCGCTCACACCTCTCCCTCCACTCCCTACTCAAGCCACTCCAATCCGGTTTTCGCCCTGCCCACAATACAGAGACAGCGCTTGTCAAAGTAACAAATTGCATCTTCTCTTTGTGATCAGGGCTTCCTCATTCTCCTGGACCTCTCCACCACGTTCGACTACACCGTCCTCCTGCACTGCCTCTCCTCCCTCATCCACCTTAGTGGGACCACAGTTACTTAGTTTGAATCCTACTTAACAAACTGCCAACAATACATTTTGGCAAATGATTTTTTCTCACTCCCCCATTCGGTCACCTGCGGGGTACCCCAAGCCTCCATCCTTGGCCCCTTTTCCTCATCCACATGCTCCCTCTCAGCGATGTCATCCTCAGACATGGGATCAACTTCCACAAGTATACAGATGACACCCGAATCTATTTCTCTTCCTCCAGCTGCGACTCCCAGTCCGCTGATGTCTTGTCAGTTTGTTTGACGGACATCAAGGCCTGGATGAGAGCAAATTCCTGCAGCTGAATGTCAGCAAGACTTCAGCCATACTCTTTGGCTCCCATCAACGTCTTCTCTTCTGCGGGTCTGAACTCCTCAACCTCCCCAGACTCTCCCTCAGACTCTCCGAACCCATGCACAATTTAGGCATCACATTTAATCCCCAGTTTTCCTTTCTAGAAAGAACCAGGTAACTTTGGATCTAAGGTTCCCAAAGCTTTCCATTCTGTTGTAGATTAATCCATACAGAATTATTGCCATGAGCATCTCCATTGTTGTAGCATGCGACAACCAGGGTGGTGGAAGACGAACGGAATGGACCTTGGTCTTTTTTCATCTACCAATTCCTATGTTCCTATGTATGCATCAAGTTTCCTGTTATTCTGGTTATAGAAATTATTGTTGAAAGTTGGCAGTGTTAGAAACTGTGGTTCTAATTGTGATGAATAATTAATTTATAAAATGCTCCTGTGTATTTGATTCTCACAGACGCTGCTGGAGACCACAACCAACCTCCTGAACCATGATCTGCACTGGTCGCTCTCCAACCTGCGTGCTGCTGTCAGCCGGGGCCTGAACCCCAAACAAGAGCACTGCGGCATCTGTCTGCAGCAGTACAAGAGGAGGCAGGAGGGCACAGAGGAGGTCATCGTGTTCAGGTCAGCACATCCCTTCTGCTAACATCCTACATACAACAAGTCTTCTTACCAATTCACATCCACACACTGCGCTCCCCTCATTAACTCAGAAATAACAATAAAATAATAATCCTTACATTTGATACAGCGCCTTATCACTTCAGACACATCTCAAAGCGTTTCACAAAATATATTATAAAGCAGATTGGGTACTTTGTACTGTGTACTTTGTAGGCAAAACACAACAGCCAATTGCCCACAGTAGTGTCCCACAAAAGTCATGCACTGAATGGATTAGCGAGAAAGTGTTACCTTGTTCTGTGTACTTGCCTTTTATTTTTGCATTTGGGGTAATTTATTTAATTCTGCCTAACCGAACCAGACAGGAAGCATCTGGTGCGTTGTAAAGGGCTTAAAAGAAAAGACCCAGAAGAATAAAAGTAACCAGTGAGGAGAGGAGCAAAAGTGAACCCTGCATGAGACAGGGGAAGGGAGTTGCTGTTTTAAACCCAGAATTAAAATAACCTCATTGTAACGAAACTCACATTTTTGTAGTAAATTTTGACTATTTAAGCGTGATAAATAATTTAACAACATTGGAATAATAATCCAAAATCTATTCCAGGAAATGCCAGAGATTGTAATAAAATAGATTAATATACCTAATAATAAGCCTTGTGTTTTGATAAAGCCTTATCATGTTTCCGAGACGTCTCAAAGCGCTTCACAGAATATACTGTAAAGTGTATTTTTTGTTTGCGAAACGTGACAGCAGGGTCCGACAAACAGTCATGGATTGAGTAACCAAATTATTTTTATTTATTTTTGAAGGGTTTATTACTCCCGGAAAAGCAATACGCCAATTGACTAACAACTGGGTTCTTACTCACTGCAAGGTAACAGACACAAGTGCAGTAAGGAAACATGGCCAGTGCTTCACATTGCCTGGGAATCAAACCCAGGTTGCTTGTGAAGCAAGTGCTCTAACCACTAAGCTACAGGACTCCACTATAAATAGAGAAGGGGGAGTTTTCATACTTAGTGACTCTGGCCCAGTGAGGGGTACAGATGTGGCTGTGTTTTTCTGTCATTGTTTTCAGGTTGAGCTGTTGACAATGCTGTGACTGCCCTTTTATAATTCCACAAACTACTCAGTCACTACCTTCTGACAACGGAATGTCAGAATCAAGCCAGACCTCTGGAGATTTCGGTAATCTGGTTCCTGAGCCAGGCGGCTCTGCAGTACTGGAGGGCACTGTTGATGACAGCACAGCCAGCCTGGCTCATTCAGCAGGACTTGAAAGGGCAGACCAGTTATTAGGGGCAGGGAATCATCCTACTCAACTCTTGTTAACTAGCTAAAGCCCTAATGGGTAGGGTGGTCCTAGCTGGACAAGCAGCGGGAAAGCTTGCTATCAATGCTATCAACGGACAAGCAGCGGAAAGTTTGCTATCAGTGCTATCAGTGGCAAGCTATGTTGTTTTAACTGGTTAGACTCCAGCAGTTACCCCCAAAGCACACCTGAGGTCCCCAAGACTGGCTCTTGCCAACCTGTGCTTAATACTTTCAGAATTAGATAAGCAAGATGCTTCCCTCCAGGGAGAGAGTCCGCATTCCATTCCAACAATCTATCTCGACGTGTAGCTGGGATGCATGGGATTCTCAATTTGGTTTGGAGACTCTTCATCATGGTGATGGGTTTCCGCATGTGTCAGACACCCAGCTGACAAAAAACAGAGAGTTGTTCACAGCACTGTAACTGCCTTTTTATAATTCCATAAACTTCTCAGTCATACCTTCTGTGTACAAGCAGCTTCAGGGCAGCTGGGAGTGTGGGACGTTCTAAGAATTGTCCACATTCCCACTTTGTTTTGTAGTTGGTGGGATGTGTTTGCTCTGGTATGCTTTGTATTACTGGATATTAATGTTTTGAGGGATTTTGCTCTATATCTTTCTCCCCGTCCTCTAAAAGCCGGAGCTGTGGTCGAATATCCGTCCTGTGTTTAATAGGATCTGAAAAACAATGTGAAAGGTTCAGCCCACATAGCAAAGTGCAGACATGGTAAAATCACAGTCTCTGCACTCGAAAATGTTGATTCCTTCAAACACAAATTAGAGTAATTTTATTTTAGGGAATAACATTATGGGATATAGTACATAGGTAGTTTGGTACATATATGCATGCGACCACTAGGAAGGTGGAAGGCGAACTAGATGGACCTTGGTCGTTTCTTTCATCTACCAATTCTTATGCTCTTATATACACAAGCATGGAATGGAAAAAGTGTCACCTTGTTGTTAGTGATATAGTGCCTTATTAAGTTGTTGAGACGTCTCAATGCCCCAGGTAACAAAATTGCTCATTTGCTTCATGGCATTGGTTTGTGGGACATTTCTATCTTCAAATTGGCAGCCATTTTCACTTACAAATACACAGTCACTATATTTTTAGAGAAAACTGTGAAGGGATTTCAGCAAAAGCGTGGGAATTCTTTCTTGAGGAAGAGAGAACGTTTCAAGTAAACAGGTAAACAAGTCAAATTGGCTGTTAGTCACAGACCAGGTTTTAGGGATTAGTTAATTTGCTGACCAGTTAAAACTGGGTGTATCTGAGGTCTATATAAAGGGGAAGGCATGCGAGAGCCTCACTTGAGTAGAGAGCCCAGTAGTGTGAGGAGGTAACTGAGTGAGGTTGAACAGAATGGAAATTCTGTGCAGGAATTTGGTGAGAATGGGAATTAGGTGCATAAGGGGAAGGAGGTGCATAATTATTAAACAATTAATATAAAAATATCTGGGAATATGGCAGGGTGGCTAAAACCCGTTACATGCACATTGTATACCATGTACTGAGGTCGAGGAGAGGCTGGTGTCATTACACAGCATATGTGAAGCTGAAGAGTTCATGGATCAAAGGTTTCAGGAGGTGGTCAGTGAGTGGGTGACTACCTGGCATGGTAGGAAGAGGAGAACAGCAGAGCAGAAATCCTCAGAGACTGTGGCACTCACAAACCAGTTCTCTGTACTGAGTACCGGTGAGGGTGACAACACCTCTGGGGAGGGCAATCAAAAGCAAATCAATGCACCCAGGGACATAGGAAAGAGTATCAGTGCACAGGGGGACACAGGGAAGAATACTAATGAAATTATCATTGGGAACACAACAGTTAAAGGCGTTTCTGCAACCACAGACATGAAGCGCTATACAAATGTAATTTGTTGTGTTGCCTCCCTGGTGCAAGGGTTGAAGACTTCATGAAATGGGTGCACAACATTTAATGGGGAAAGGGAACTTCCAGAAGCTGTGGTCTATTTTGGGAGCCATGACTTAAGGGGAAAAAACAGGCTGAGATCCTACAGAGAGAGTTTCAGTAACTAGGGAGAAAACTAAAGAACAGGACCTCAAAGGTGGTGATCTTCTTATACTCGCATGCAAACGAGTGTAAGAACAACAACAACAAAATTATATTTATAGAGCGCCTTTCACATCAGGAGGACGTCCCAAAGCGCTGAACAGTCAGGTATTGGGGCCTGAGCATGGGGGAGTGGTGCTGTAGGGGTGAGGGAAGGTAGAGGGGTGGGAGGGAGACCAAAGGCACGGTCGAAGAGAAGGTTCTTGAGACTGGCCTTGAAGGAGACAAGGGAGACAAGGGAGGAAGTGAGGCGAAGGGACCATGAGGCTGAAAGTCCAGTCACCGATGGTAGTGCGATTCGGGCAGAAGACATGGAGCAGGCCAGGGCCCGATGAACAGAGAGAGCGGGCAGGTTGGTAGGGAGTCAGCAGGTCAGAGAGGTAGGATAGGCAAGACCATGGATAGCCTTAAAGGTGAGGACGAGGATCTTGAACTCGAGGGTGGGAGTCATGGGGTCACGGAGCCTGGTACGTGAGAGTACATGAGTTGCAGAGCTTTGGATGATCTGCAGCTTGTGAAGGGAAGAGTTGGGAAGGACGATGAGGAGGGAGTTCCCATAATCGAGCCTTGATGTGACGAATGCGTGGGTGAGGGATTCGGCAGCCTGAGGGGTGAGGCAGTGGCAGAGTCTGGCAATGTTGCGGAGTTGGTGGTAGGCAGTGCCGGTCATGGCGTGGATGTGGGGGAGAAAGGACAGTTCAGGGTCAAACAAAATACCCAGGTTCCTGACTGGCTTAGTGACGTTGAGTGTGCAGCCGTGGAGGCTGATGCTGCCAGTGCCTGAGGTGCAGAAGCGCTGGCGTGAGCCAATCAGGAGGGTCTCAGTCTTGCTGACGTTGAGTTGAAGAAAGTTGGCCCTCGTGCAGGACTTGATGTTGGACAGGCAGTCGGTCAGGACGCCAGTAGTCCTGGAGTTCAGGGTGGAGGCAGAGAGATAGAGTTGGGTGTCATCCGCAAACATGTGGAAATTTACCCCATGTCTGTGGATGATGTCACCAAGGGTGGGAGCATGTAGAGGGTGAAGAGGAGGGGACCGAGGACAGAGCCCTGAGGAACACCGCATGAGATGGTGCGGGTGCTGGAGGAGAAGCCGTTTGCCGCGACGAAGTGGACGCGGTGTGAAAGCTAGGACCTGAACCAGTCAAGGATAGAACCTTGAAGGTTGAGGTGGGAGGAGAGGTGGCAGAGGAGGATTGAGTGGTCCACGGTGTCAAAGGCAGCGGAGACGTCGAGGAGGACGAGGAGACAGAGGGAGAGGTGGTCACACATGGTCAGGATATCGTTTGTGACCTTGAACAGAGCAGTTTCTGTGCTGTGGGCAGCCCGGAAACCCGATTAGAGGGGTTCACGGAGGGAATGAGAGGAGAGGAAAGAGTGAAGCTGGGAGGCAACAGCTCTCTCAAGGACCTTGGATAGGAATGGGAGATTTGAGATGAACCGGTAGCTGGATAGCTGTGATGGGTCGAGGGAAGGTTTCTTCAAGGTGGGGGTGATAGTGGCTGATTTGAGGGGCTAGGAACAGTGTCAGATGACAGGGAGAGGTTAATGATGTCGTCGAGTAGTGGTGCAAGGAGGTGGAGCTGGGATTTAAGGAGAGGGGTGGGGAT